TGAACGAGGGCAGCCTTTCATTGCAAATGCCTCCTCTGCCCTAGTGGATGGTGTCGCCCACCCTGTGCAGCTAGAAAGCAAACTGCAGCTCAGATGCCGGAGCCAGCTGCCTGGGTCTGAATCCTGTCTCTCCACTTCACCACCAGTGTTGTCTCCAGCAAATGATTGAACCTGACAGTGCCTCAGTTTACCCATCTATACAATGCTCTGGCATGGTGCCCCTGTCCCAGGCATGGGGGGGGGCGGGGAATCGCCTAAGTTAAGGCATGCACAGTGTGTAGAAAGTGCCCCTGCCCTTAAAAGAACGTAGCAGGGAGGACCCGCAGTGACCAGCTCATTCTTTTCTCTCCTGCAGTACGTTTGCTGAACGAACAACCGAGGTCTCCATAAATTTACAATGAACTGAACAGCTGGCTGAAAGAACTTGACATCCAGTTTTCAGTGGAGGATCGAATTAAGACTCTCCTCCACTCAACGATGGGGCCAAGTGCCCACCCTCCCAAGTGGAAAATGCCGTAAGGTGAACTTGGCGTTGGACGCACCTGACCCACCAGGCACTGCGGCTTAGCCTCACCTGCCTCGAACAGCTCAGAACACCTGCATCAGACTACAGCTATCAGACTACAGTCATCTAACACAAAGCCTATTTTATTATAGTAGAGCGCTCAATATCTCATGTGATTTGCTGACCGCTGTACAGAAATTGAAAAACGGAATGATTGTATGGCTTCCCATTGAAGGCATATTTTTTTTCGTACTTTCATTTTTATTTTATTTTTTAACACAAATGTATCTACTGTTTTAATTTCAGAGTATCACAGGGGTACAAACCATTTGGTTACATAAATTGCTTTTGTCCTGTGTCCATCCCCCAGACAGTGTGCATTAGTACCCGTTAGGTGTGAATATACCCATCCCCTCCACCTGCCCGAAACCTGATGAATGTTACTACTATACGTGCACTTAAGTGTTGGTCAGTTAGTTCCAATTTAATGGTGAGTCCATGTGGTGCTTGTTTTTCCATACTTGGGATACTGCACTTAGTAGTGTGGACGGAAAAATCCAAGCCCTGAAATATTGGAAAGAAGTTTATTCTGAGCCAAATTTGAGGACCATGACCCGGAGCCACTCTCAAGAAGCCTTGAGCAAGTGGGCTGGTGTGGCTGGTTACAGTTCAGTTTTATACATTTCAGAGAGACAAGGGTTACAGCAAAGCCACAAATCGATATCAGGAGAGCATACATTGGTT